GCTGTCTGTGAGGGGGTTGCCTCTTGGGGGTTAGAGGCGGTGGTGAACTCCACTGGAGTAAAGCGGGCCGATGGGCGGACCACCACGGGGCATCGTCGGACTGAAGAGAGTTGAGGCCGAACGAAGTAGGCAGGGGGCAGGTTGCTAGGACAAGGGAGGTGCAGAGGAGAGTGTGGCGGGGGCAATATTAACCAAGCAGGCTGGTCTCGGGCATAGGGGCTAAAGACCAGGCGAACCGTCCTATAACTAGCTTTTCCCGAGGATCACTTCGGGCTGGCCGGAGCAACGATGAAGGCCGCCACACTAAGGCGCTGGCGGAACGGTGTTCGAGTAGCGAAGAGGTAGACCGTGTCGGGAAGCGCAGACAGCAGCGGGTGGAGCGAATAGCGCAGCGAGAAGCGGGGCAGCAGAAGGAAAGAGAGCCAGATGAACCCGGATGCGAGGCTGCACCGGGTGCGTCCGGGGATTCGAGCACGCGAAGAGGGTGAGAGGAGAGGAGTCGGGGGGAAGAGGGCTGAACCAAGGAGGATAGCTGAGGCGGATGTGTGCGTAGGTGGAAAGAAAGTCGGGCATGGCGAGGCCAACGTAAGGGAGTATGGCGAACGAGAGAAAAGGTGATTGCGCCCGTTTTCCTAACAGAAATGGGCGAATAGAGGGTCGCGCCTAATGTCTTAGAGGCGGGCGACCTTAGATTTTTGGTTAGTTTTAGTAATATGTCGGTAGGATTAGAGTTAGCAAAGAGAAAGACCGCGCGAGAATGAAAACGGGAAGGAATATGTCTGGCGCGGTTTCGCGCCGGATACGTGCAGCGAAAGGGATGGAGGAAGGGTGAGTCGAGTACGGTCAAGAAGGCAGATAACTCTTGATTCTAAGTGGAATCGAGAGAGAGAGGACGCGATACCGGGGTTTTCGCCCCGGGCGAGTTGGATGGTAGTGTTAGTTTTAGACGAAAGTTGGTAGGGAAGAAGGTTAGTGAAGGAATGGTTGTGTGAAGTGGCGGATATGGTGGACGAACGGAGTGCATAGCTTGCCCGATTCTTAACGAAATCGGGCAATCGAAAATGCGAAACAGAGGTTTGGGGCTAGGGCGACCTCGACAGTGAGGTTAGATCCAGGAGAGAGTAAGTAGGATAGGAGGGTATGAGAAAGAATGGTTGCGGGAAGCTATGGCGGTGGAGGAAAATAACGGGCACAAGAAGCTTGTACCTCACCCGACCCTCGATGGATTCGAGCGAGGGGAGAAGCTGTTTGGGGGTTTCTAGATAGAGCGGCCACGGTAGTGCAGGTGGATTCCGGGTTGGAGCGACTGATTCTGTGGCATAAAGAAAAGGCATTGTATGGGAAAAGGGGATGGTAAGAGGGGAATGAATCCGTCTATGTTTTAGCGGAAGGTTCATTCCAGTTTTGTTCATCCTATCGCGGGAAGTAGAGTGTGGCTAGCCACACTGCGCATACAGAGAGGGTTATAGGGAGATGGGATATACATATGTGAGACTACGATGAGGCGAGGAGGCAGCTGCGACTTCAGAGATTTACCCGTTCACCAACATGTTGCTTGTCCTAGAGGATGCACCCGGCCACGATCTAGCGGCCGATTCATTGGATTTTGTCCCTTGCTATCGGTGAGGGTRGCACGAAGGCCACTATGGGCTGAAGGATCACCATTTGGACAGCAAGYCGTCTGCTCGGTCGGCAGAGGCAGCAAAGTGGGGGATAAGAGGGAGCTGCCTGCAGTTGGGGAAGAGAARTACTTACCTTSGGGAGCTAGCGATGCGGGATRRACGGATAGCCGAGCTACGTTGCCGAGTTGTGGTATACCTGGCCAAGTCCCAGTGGTAGAGTCATTCGATTTTGTTCGGCCAAACAGGGAAGCCAGCCATGGAGTCAGGGTGCTTATCTTACGCTACTTGCAGGCTGGGTACGAGCGGAAGACTCGTTCAAGGTTATTCAGCCTATCGGTGGAGGTAGCATGAGACGATTGAGAAGTGGGGGCTTGCCTATTGGTTGGGCGTTGCGGCTGCAGAGACTATTCTGCCAATGATGGTTGTTTGTTGAAGAGTTGCTGGGGATAAAGACTCACCTATTGGTTGGTGAGTCGTTCATCAGGGCGACCGAGGCGACAGGGGGGGCCAGCCGCAAGTGTGCGGACCTGGCTATTGGCCAGCACACCACTCACCTCATCGTCTGCGGGGCTTGCTGGCCTGCCTGGTAACCGAGTTAATGTGATCACGGGACACAAGGCAGAGATCGGAGGTAAGCCGCTGGTTGGCTCATTGTGCACTAATCATACGGAGGAGCGACGAGCGAGCAGAGGGAGGAGCCTCATGTGTTATGGTCAGCGTACGGCTTAGCCTGCGGAGCTAAGTAGCTGGAGTAAAGTTGGCCACGAGGTTATGGACTTACCTGTTGGTTGGCGCCCAGCCCATATTAATTGGGTGAAGTGGCTGAAGGTAAGCAGCGGTGCTTGGGAGCCCGCTTGCTGACCAATACGCTGTCGTCCTATTGTCCGAAGTTGTGTGGATCCAGTTGCTACAGGCTGCTCCAGGCTTGCTGATCCACGGCTGGGCTTCCGCGGCTCGTTTTCAACTGCGCTTTCTCCCACGATAGTTGCTGAGCCCGCTGCGGATTGTTGTGCCGCTTTGAGCACGTCTGTTTGGGACTGTGTGATTGCGGCTTCAGTTAGGGAAGCAAAGGTGTGCGCGGAGTTGTTGGTGGTTGAACGGTGGGGAAGGACTGCGGCTGCAGCTTGGAAGAAACACGTTATTCGTTAAAATAGGACATTATGCTGTGTCCTTTTTCTAACGAATTATTTTTTGGCTGCAGCCTAAGCAACGTAGGCATGCCCATCAAGGGGTTAACCACATGCAGAAGCGTGCTGAGATCCATACTTGTGAAACGTCATAAATGAAATCCCAAATGTGGAAGTGTGTTGGGATCCTTACTTGTTGAACTTCAAAAACATGTTGGTGATCCTGTGGGGAAGTGTGTTGGGATCCATACCAGTCAAACTTCATAAACGAATAACGATTGGCACGCCAAAGGGAACCCTGTGCGGAAGTGTGCCGTGATCCTTACTTGTCAAACTTCAATTTCATAAATGTGATGAAAGATACAGTAACTATATTGTGACACTGTCCTCTTTCTTATGAATTCATTTTTGACTGCAGTGTTTGTACATGGGCATGCCTGCCCAGTCACCCCAAATGCGAAAGTTTGATGACTTCCATAGTTGTTGAACTTTTGTAAACAAAATTAGGAATGTAATGAGATTGAATTGGAGAGTATAATTCTTTCGGTTATTCCAAAGGCATACATGCAGGTTCATCGTCTTGCTGAAAACGGTTGTTTAGATGTATGATGAGATCCGGACTGGTTTTAGAAGACTTGTGACCTTGGGAGATTGGAACAGGAGTGTGCCGAGATCCATACTTGTTAAACTCAAAGCTTACGTATGTGATGAGCAAGGTGTCATGATTGAACTGTTGTTGGTTAACACATCAAATTTTCATTTACTACGTTATCCCCGAATCTCTTCAACATCCAAACAATCGTCTCGGGTGAGACGACGGGTGTGCTTGCATAAGTCCGAATCTCTTTAACATCCAAACAATCGTCTCGAGTGAGACGATGGGTGTGTTTGCATAAATTCCGCATACATGCACGCTCATCATCTCGCCTGACATGAGGGCACTGAGATCCATACTTGTTTACAGTTATGATGGGCAAGGTGTATTTTAATCACCACTTAATTTCGATATTCTATGTACTAGTGCAAAACTTCAAATTGTGCTCCATCACGATGAATATCCGCATTTTAAATGTTCATGCAAAGAAGGTTTGGGCATCCACTGACCAATTTCACATAAGATGAGATTTCTCATTCATCCACCAACCAGTTTCACAATCGTGTTTACACTTCCAGTTCAACAGAATTCGAAACATGGAACACAATACTTCAACTTGAACAGAATTCGGAACATGGAACATTACGTAACATAGATTACAAAGCCCATACATGACGGAGGACATGCATTGAGCTTGCCGTAGATAACGCGAACTCGGAACGATAAAAGAAAGCAATGCCTCAGGCAAAAGGACAGTTGAATAATGTCTCGATTTACGAAATTTAATGATCAACGAATGGAACACCTTAAAAAAAAGTTTCGAAGTCAATCAAATCCATCAAAGACAATGATGTTCTAAGACACATGATGCTAATTGTCGTCTAAGAAGCAAAATATCTTTACAAGAGAACCGGAAAGGTGGTCGATCTCCACGTTGCAACAACGTCGCATACATCAACATGAACACACCACAACTTGCTCCATCCACTTGTCTCGGAACTCCATCCACCACAACATTTCTCACTATGGACTTTCAATTCCTACCCGAACGCCTATGTGATGTCTGACGTTCCAAATACTGCACAATCAACCCGAAAACACTAAGGTGAAAACTAGAATCAGCTACAATGCGAGGAAAAAAATCAAAAATTTCGAGAACATCACCTCTTATGTTGACGGAAACGAGGATCCAGTGATCATCATCTTTATGGACAGGAACGAAGATAATATCGTAACGAAGCAAATCTAAGTTTTTAGCCCACCTCTGTACCCCACCGTATCCTTGAAGTCGCAGTTTACTGAAGAAGAACGAATTAAAGCTGAAGACTTGAAGGCCTGAAGAGATGTCACGTGACCCACATGCGGTCGACTCCAACAACGCCATATAGAAATTGACCACCTCATCATTCACCCTGCCGTTGACATGCAAGAAGGTGAGGAGATCTTTTGCTGCAATCCGAAATTGACCATCGCCCAGTATAGAGAGAAKAGTGTTAGACGRCACCAARCCTYGTACAATGTCRTCCAAAACCCGCAARCTCAGACTCTRTGGCGCAATTGTCTCTTATACACATCTAGATGTGTATAAGAGACAGGTGTTAGACGACACCAAGCCTCGTACAATGTCATCCAAAACCCGCAAACTCAGACTCTGTGGCGCAATCGTTGCCGCGAAACTTTTCCTGCGTGCTGCACTTGTTGCCCGCACTGCACAACATCGAGCAAAGGACACGTGGGGTAGTGAGAAACGGAGCTCTAGGCATTGTCCGCTGGTGCATGACGCGTTGCTAAGTACTTCTCATACATGGCCTCACCTCTACTCACAGATCGTGGATATGTCCCTTTCTCTGGGGCAAGAAGGGAAAGACATTCCTCAATGGCAACGGTGTACTCCTTTCCGATCTCGACATCAACCCCTGATGCCTTTAACATATCCTTGTGTTTTGTACTCAACCCGGGGACTTTCTGCAATATGTGCTCTGGATATTTGGAGGATCTCCGTGTTCGAGACGACACCACCCCTGTACAACAGAAGAAAGACGAAACGGGAAATGAGAACCATACATTCGTACAGACGCAACAGTCAAGCAGGACCTCTCCGACCACAAGACCCTGATCTCGCATGGTCATTTGCACCCAGGTGCGGTTGTGCGACTGGAAAACAAAACGACTGCAACATCTGAGCTTATCACCCCCACACTTCGCAAAGGAAAACCACCACAACTCACAGAAGCCGGAGGCCAGCAATCCCCGAAGTTCGGACTGCGGCGGACTTTTCAATACACCAGCCCCACTGAGACTGACCACATCACGCATCAACAAAGGAAGTTCGGATCCCGGCGGACTAAAACCGGCACTATTCCCGAGAAGGGAAAACTGTCAGTCCATCTACTTGGCCACTTTCTTAGCACCTTGGCCTACAGTCAAGCAGGACCTCTCCGACCACATGACCCTGATCTCTCGTGGTCATGTGCACCCCGGTGCGGTTGTGCGACTGGAAAACAAAACGACTGCAACATTCGAGCTTATCACCGCCGCACTTCGCAAAGGAAAACCACCACAACTCACAAAAGCCGAAGGCCAGCAATCCCCGAAGTTCGGACTGCGGCGGACTTTTCAACACACCATCCCCACTGAGACTGACCACGTCACGCATCGACACAGGAAGTTCGGATCCCGACGGACTAAAACCGGCACTATTCCCGAGAAGGGAAAACTGTCAGTCCATCTACTTGGCCACTTTCTTAGCACCTTGGCCACTTCCTCAGCCGGGGCAGATCCTTTGTTGGATGGAGTGTAAGGTTTTGGACGAAGTTTTCGCCGCCCTCGACTAGCAACCCGGCCGAGTCACATATAGGCTGACGAGCTGGAGTACGAAGGGCTGCTGGCTGTAGCATGCCGGCATCCGGAACTTCCCGTATGTATAGACAGTGTGGACAGTTGTCGTGTGTATAGCGCGGACTGTAATCCGGCGACATCCGGATGCGCAGGCGTTCTTCACGGCTTACTAGTCTGTTTCTCTCTCCGCTCCTTCGATGGTGAATTTGGCGCAGGCAAAGCGAGCACGTCGAGAGTTTGACCTGCCGAACCTCGATTTTTTTTGGGACGTCACATGTTGTCCTCCACCGAACTCGCCTTCCCCTTCGGCAGCAAGGGTGGCCGGCAGCACCAGAGACTTCGGCGACGACGAAGCAAGGGCAGCTGCCACGGAAGATGCGACGTTGGCAGTTGCGGACGGACGGGCAGACACGTTGTGGTCGCCTAGGATACCGTCGATAACTTCGTCGATGCTTATACGTCGACTTTTTTCAGACGGGCTGATAACGACGGAAGCCCCGTCGAACCGGTGTTGCAAGTCGACAGCAAACGTCAGTGGCCGGACCGCATAATCTTCAAGCTCTGCGGAAAGGCTGCTGACCACTTGTGTCTCCATCTCTATTGCCGTGGCATCGTCGTTGACATCATCCTCGTGATGCTCTCCGTACAGTTGTCCGAACTCGTCAGACGACTCTCCAGATCCGGCATCGTCCTCACTGTGTTCCACTTCGTCTTCTCCAGACCTGACACCCTCCCTTCCTTCAAACAAATCAATTAGCTCCGTTTCTCCCGCCTCCTCCCCTTCCACCTCTTCTTCCCCTTCTTCCTCCCCTTCTTGCGCTCCCTTCTGTTCCTTCATTATCTCCCCTTCTTCCCTCCCACGAAACTCGTCCCCTTCCGCGGTACCCGTGCTGAATCTCGAGGACCGCCCTTCCGTCCCCGTGCACGCTGCCCCTCTCAACGGCACGACAATCCCTGGCCGACAAACCCCGCCCGAAGAAGTTCAGATCTCAGCGGACTTCGTGGTCTCCATGTCGCAGGACCCTGCACTTGCAGCCTCCCACTGCAATCCTTGCGGCCGTCGCTCCCGCTCAGGCGACACCTTTCCGACGTCTCCATCCCTCGCCGCAATGCTGCGAATTTCTCGATCCTTGCTTGGATTCCCCGACCCCGAGCAGCTTCGCATTCCGAACCGCTCTGGCGACTCCTCACCCGACGTAGTTCGGATCCCGGTGGACTTCGGCTTTCCGGCCGAGCGACTGCCCAGAGCAACCAAGGCTGCCAACGTGTCCCTCCCTGAGCCCACGGACGAAGTCGGGGGTTCGGCGGAGTGTGTCATATGCTCGGGCCGAGTGCCTGTCAACGGAGTCCGGTCGACGGCGAAGCCCGCCACCCCGGCGCTGCCTGGTGTCGTGTTGCGGCCGTGAGACCCTCTCTCCCCCATAGGCGGGATTCCTTTGCCACCCCCTGCGTCGCCACCCCCATCCCCTCCGCTTCCAGGTGACCCCCCCCCAGAACCACCGTCCGACCCACTGGGAGGGGGCACTTTCCAGTCCACCACGCCCTTCGACGGACTCGTGTCAAGCTCGTAGTAGTCCTCCGTCAATTTCAACCAGCACTTGTCCTGAAGCTCGTCGAACAGTCGACCGGCAGTGGAAATGAGGGACAGGTCGACGGGTGCAAAAGTGTCATTTTCGACCTTCACTTTCTGGAGGACCGAAATCCTCGCGAGGTGAAGGAAGTTGGACTTCGACTCGCATGGGAATGACACCCATCCCGCGCCCGGGATTGCCACGGCCATGACCCACTCGCCATTTCGTATTGCTGGCTGGATGACTCCCGGATGGCAAACCTTGTCATGGCCCCAGTCCAGCTCAGGTGAATGACGTTGCGGTTCAAGCAGGAAGTGGATGTTGTCATCCTTCCAAGACGGATGATCGGGCGGGACGACGGACCCGGGACGCAAAGCGGGCGGGGGGGCGGCCAGAGCTCTACGTCTCTCCAGCAACGTCATCGGCGTGGTGCCCGGCGCCGGTTTGGCCAATGGTGACACGAGGGCTGCAGCGCTTGGTGATAGACCGGCCGACGAGGACCCTCGACCGTGGTCCGCCGGAGGCGGGTCGTACTGCAGGTCGATGCTCTCCGTGTCGCTCTCCTCCTCCTTCGCGTTGGCGACAAACTCCACACCTATGGCTTCCTCGTCGTCAGTGGAGATCAGGGAAGCGTAACTGGCTAACTTCAACTGCTCCTCGGACTCCACGAAGTCAAGCGACTGCAGCCTTTCGATAAACGTCTTCGCGTTAATGCGGGAGGCGAAGTGGTAGTTGTTGAGCAGTGCCGACACGTGGTCCTTCCGGCAGATGTACTCGGCGTCAGTGTCCCTCCTCGGACGCGTTTGAAGGAACAAGAAATCGTATATCTTGTTCCTCTTCCTCTCGCTCAACTTGAACCACATATCCGTCTTGTTGCTCCACACCTTATCCCGTGTTGGCCTCACGACCATGAACTCATAATTGTGCCCACCCGAATTGACCTCGCTTTTCACCACCTGCATCGTGAATTGCAAGAGGTCGGAGTTCCCTTCCACTGCGACAACGTGCCGACCGGCCTTCCGAAGCTCCCAGACGCTTCGCGCGTGCGGTTTCCCAAGAAACACGACACCCTCTCCCTTCTTGCCAAGAAAATCAAGAAGACCGACGAATTGTGTCGGATTGCATTCCATATCCCCGTAGACGCTGCCCTGTCGTTCAGGCGCCACCAGCGACCAGTCGCAAGGCGTGAAAGGAATCTCGGACACATCCGTTTGGGTGACCCTCTGAGGCAATCGCACCGCAGCAGCAACACCCCTGGGCAGGTTTCCCTCGTAGACCACGGACGTGTTGACGCGCAGATCGTCACCCTTGAAGAGGATGTACATGCGGTCTTCCTCCGTGTACAAATTGTTCCCAATGGGGAAGCTTTTTTTTTGCTGCACTCTCTGCACCCACTTCCCTTCCAACAGCTTGACGAAAGAAAGATGGTGCATGCTGGCGAGAAACGACAGGTTGTGCTGCCGCGGCACGAAAACAACGAGAGTCCAATGCAAGGGACACCACGTATGAAAATAGGAATTCAAAGTCTCCCACGCTTGGGGCTTCCACAGTTTGAGGTCAACCGGCTCGCACAGATTGAGGACGAACGTGTGGCTCTTTGTGGCAGCCACTGCCTCCTTCAGCTCTGCGCCCCTGATGTCCGCCTCTAAAGGGTCGTTGGCGAATGGCGCGATGGATGTCACGTCCCCGTGTCTTTCCATTTAATATGAACGACGTCTTCGGCAAGTGCGACTTCCCAGCTCTTCAGTCTACTTCCATTCAACACGGAGAGAACCTTGTTTCTCCAGTCGACGGACAACTTCTTGTGGCCCGCCAACTTCTCTGTCACCTCAATCGAGTTGTCCTGGTCGCAACCCATGTACGGTGGGCAGTCCTTGAACAGCGCTGAGTGGGAAACGTGTTTCCTGCTGTTATTCTACAACTCGTCATCCAATCCGTGACCTTCAAACTTCTTGAACACGGCAGACCTCGATATCAGGAAAGGATACCTTTGGATCCAGTCCTCGTCCGACCTCTTCTCGTGCTTGAATTGGTAGTAATTCCACAACCGGACCAGCACGTGGTCGCACTTCACCAGCTGCACCATGTCCTTCACGCTGAGCTTTCCCAACTTCGCCAACGACGGGGAGCCGGCCTGGACCCAAATGACCTCGCAAGCAAGCACCTTTTTCAGAACGCGACACTTCTTATTGTCCGTGAGTGATTCCATTGTTTTCCAACAATGCGCGTCCGGGTCTGGCACTTGCACGAACCAATCGCCCTCCTCTTTCTCCTTTTTGCCCTTTTTATTCGGCGGGTCCACGGGGACGTTGTACACCACCTCCGTTCTGCCCAATTTGTCGTTGTGGATGTAGGCGACCCCAGGCTTTACGTTTTTTACCTTCTTCTTTTTGACGATCCACTTCGCCCTATCGTGGCTCAGCAATCTGCCCGTCTTCCATTTTTCGAAAAATTCCAAGGTCAGTTTCCATACATTTTCCCCGGCCTTCGCCAAAGGTAAGTAAGAACGAAGGGCAGCATTTTGCTTCTTAATGGTCTCCTCTTCCTTTTGATCCGCGAGAAGCCACAAGCTGTTTTGAGGCGCCTTATGGAGCGCCATTGTACAAAACTTACGCCAATCCCGGACCTGATCTTGTTTCCCGCTAGGGTTCCCCATCACAACTCTTGGGCAGCCGTCATGCTTCCACTGCCATCGAATGTCTTTCATAGAAAGTTTCAATTGTCTGGGAGGTGCCTTGAGGTCCTTCTTATTGTCCTGTGAACTAACAAGAAAATACCCTTCGAAGTCATCGTCGGAAAAGTACACCATCCGTGCCGGC